TTTTTTTTTTGGCTTGCGGCAATAAATAACGATATCAAACTTTATCCCGAAAAAAGTCTTGGCTCCGTGCGACTTCTATCAAACGCTAGTTTCGAAAAGCAGGCAATGAAAGACAAGGATGTTTTGCTCGCTCAGGCTGAATAGCAGTGCCTTTAACACAATCTGACGAGCGCTTTCTGCAGAGGAAGAGTGAACTACCTGAACGAGCCTCTTTGGAATTATAAGTGGATTTACAACAAACATAGATGAATTCTGCGCAAACAAAATTTGTTGTCTGTTTCCCGCTAGCTGAAAACCTGTGCTCCTCTGAGTCACCAGGATTTAGCTGTAAATGCATACGATACAATGACTGATTGTACATATACGAAGACAGGGAAGCTTTACTTGTTTTTCGGAAACAAGAATTTTTGACTGATAACAGCAAGGAACGAAACAAAAATTGACGGTTTTGCAGAAATTCAGAATGACGGCAAAAGAAAGGTGTTTGGCAAAAAGAACAGAGAATTCAACAGGTGGTTTAGGAGTGACACAAAAAGGAACGCCGGAGTGTTTGGGGTATGGGCGGTAAAGAGCAGTCCTGGCTACATTTACGGATGACTCAAATTACCAATTACTAATTAAATAAATAGCTGTACATTTGCCGGTCTTAGTGACTGCTATTGCTGCTGTTAGGTGCCACATTTTAAGTAATTTTAAAATCAGACGAAGGGTGATTTATGAGTTAAGCAGCGTATTCAAAAGAAATTTACGCAGAAGCGTAGCAAAGGCCAAAACAGACAAAGCAACGTTGCCCCAAAAAACCAAGCTTCACTGTGTTCTGACGAAGTCGAACGTGTGTGAAAAAAAAGCAAAAAAAGAGTTAAGCCCGCAAGAAAAAAGCAGCCAGACGGGAGCAAAATTCCATCAGGCGGGCAGCAGAACTATGTAAAAAGCTATTACACGCAATTCGGGATAAATTAAAAGGATGAACAAATGAGTCTAAACACACGAATTTCGCTGAATGAATGAATGCTGAGAGATCACGTCATTTATAAGAATGCGAAAACAGGGAAAAGTACCATTCCCGGGAGAATGTCTGATATCGAGATGCCAAGATTAGTTGCACTATTTCAGCTGGAAGAGCTCTTCCACTAGATGCTAGAGTTCTCCCTCAGATCAATACTACAGAGCTCACGCTCCAGAAGTGAGAGAACGTAAATGGCACTCGGTGCTAGCGAAGCGTGAGATGCACCTGAGTGTGCCACTTTCTGTAGGAAATGTGCGATCTCTTTCTTTTTGGCTGCAATTAACCTGGCAAAGTAGATGGACAGCAAAGGTGAGACTCGCACAGTCGCCACCCAAAAGCAACTGCAGCATGCCTTTGCACGCTGCAACAAATGCAAGATCCACGGCTTTGCAAAACTGGCTCAAATCACGCATTCGGTCACAACCTGTGCGCTACAAAAACGGAAAGGAAAGAGATAAGAGCAGGAACAAGTAGCAACAGGAAATTCACAAATTATGGATCAGTAAAAGTTCACCGGAGCATCGGCGTCCCAAACGAGCGCTGTGTTCCTAAGAAGTCTTTCCACGATACGGTGCTGAAACCTACGGGGAGCCAAGAATGGAGGAGCAACAGATCGAGCAGAGGATAGAAGGCAGGCGGCGAGCAGAAGTAAGGACAGAAGTGAGGGTGGTAATGATGGGAGTAGGTGCAGTGTTTCGTTCCTTCACCCATTCAAAAATTAATGCATATTTCATTGGAAGCGCATATCAAATTGCTAATGCTTCTATGTCACTGAGTGATAACTAAGGGAGAGCCCGCCGACAGGCCTGTCCGCATGATTTGTTACGCATCGCTTGCTGTCATCGTCGTCGTCCTCATCGTCATTCGAGTAGCACGAAGCGACATGGGGGACGAACTGTTTTTCTCAATTAATAAGTCCGGGTACCATCGCCGGTCATCTTCAGCAAAGTAGCCAGCACTGTTCATCACTGCGCGTAGAGGGGACAGGAAAGGCACTAACAACGCTGCAACTATCATTAAACTGAGCGCCACAAACAGCACTTCCATCA